GCTGGGGAATTCTGGGAGTTGAAGTCCATACGTCTTCAAACGGCCAAGGTTGAGAAACACTGCCATATAGAAATAGTAACTCTACATGCCAGAGTTTCCAATTTCCAGAATCGCATCGCCCTTTTCCTAAAACCAGAGTCTAAGATGACATTTTGGCCGCTTTTCAGAAGAACTGTTCTCCCTTGCTTTTGTGGCTTTTGGCCCATGTTCTTGTCTGTTCCTGGGGACAAGGTATGGTTTGGAAAGTGGTTAAGCGTGTAGGTGCTTCTAAGTTTAACAGCGCCACGTTGGACGCCGGTTACTTTTAGAGCCAGTTTGGTGTAGAGGTTAAGGCACCAGGCTAGAAACCGGGAGACCCTGAGTTCTGGTCCTGCTTTGGGCACAAAGCCAGCTGGGGGACCTTGGGCCAGTCCCTCTCTCTCAGCCCCAGGAAGGAGGCAAGGGCAAAGCACTTCCAAAAAGCCTTCCCAAGAAAACCGCAGGGACTTGTCCAGGCAGTCTCCGAGAATCGGACACGACTGAACGAATTAAAAAAAAAAAAAGCTTAAGCCATTTTGAGAAATACGAGCCTGTATGGAGAAATCGACGTGTGCCATCAAATTTTCAAGGCTGTCCTGAAGTTGGGTAATTTTCCTAAGCTTTGTGTGGAATCCAGCAACGCTTAATGTTCGTTGGTAATACTGAGCTATGAAGTAGAGACTTAGCCGAAACTTTGTTCATTATTCTTTTGCTCAGCAAAGTTTGAAACTGCTATCTTAACCTTTTCTCTTTTTTTAGTGCGATGGCCTAGTTTTATATCGCCCCTGGGAGTCATCAGGGATTTATGCTGGGTGGGACTCTATGAATATTGCAACCCATTTCAGATTAGTAACGGCTTAGGAGAGAAAGAGAGCCGCAAGGATGTGCCCCCTTACAACGGAGAGGATTAAATACAATTACCTTGTTGAGACAGGAAAAGAAAAGCAAAAGACCATTTCATAAATAGATCTTGGCTCCCAGTTAGTTCCAAGGAAACCATTAGGGGAAATCTCTAAAAACAGTATAAAGTTATGTAAGATAAAAAGTTACATCCTTGGAAAGAAAGGAAACAAACCTTTCTGTAACATCTGGATTTATCTGATAAGCTTGCCTTCAGTTTTACAGCTTCCACTGAATTTCTCAAGTTTGTTCACCTTCCTTCCAACAGATGGTGCTACAGGATTTAAAGTTCTGCAACAGCCACAATTAGTATTGTTCCATTTTGGAAGGAAACAGAAATATACAACTCAGAGCAATCTCCTACAAGGGGAGCCAACTCCCATCTTGAACAGTATGAAAGGAGTCCATGTCAAATCTCACTTTATACAGCATGTTTCTCACCCTTGGCCACTTTAAGATGTGTGGACTTCAACTCCCAGGATTCCCCAGCCAGTTTTGCATGAGCCAACAGTTTTTCAATTCCAAGTCTTCTCAGGAAAATCAACTGGTAATTATTTTAATCTTCCTTTCTGGTAAGGAAGAGAGGTTTTTTCCCCCCCACATTAAAGTTGGGAATGCATTATAAGCCATGGTTTAACCATGGTTCACTTATTGGCTGGGTTGACTCAACGTTCCTGGCCAAAATGCCAGGATTTTACAAGCCACAGTGGAGAGTCCAAGGCATACTAAACCATGATCAGGTGTGGCTGACTGCCTTAAGTGGCTGGTGTGGGTCTTCCGGGCTGTGTGGCCGTGTTCTGGAAGTTTTGTTTCCTAACGTTTCGCCAGCATCGTTGTG